TGCTCGGCGAGTATGTGCTTGAGCAGCAAGCGGCACAGCGGCCCGTGACGACAGAACTGCTCCAAGTGCGGGCTATGCAATTAGTCTTAGAAAAAGGTCTAATGCGGAGCCAGTTTAAAGCGAGCAGGTGCTGGCTAACTAACTTTATGAAGAGGAAAGGCTTTTCCCTCCGAAGAGGAACATGCATATGTGAAAAGTTTTGCGGAGGAGTACGATGAAAAGCTTCAGTTTTCAGAGGTTCGTCCTAAACTTGCGGCGCAACAACGGCTACCTGCTTGGGCAAATCGTGAATGCCGATCAGACGCCTCTTCACTTCGACATGCCTGGCACCACAACCGTCGAGAAGGGGGCGAAGCAAGTTTGCGTGCTGACATCGGTCCACGGTAAAACTACAGTGACGGCAATGCTCTGTTACACGTCAGATGGGCACAAGCTTCGCCCGTACCTTCTATTTAAATGGAAGACGCTCCCAAAAGGAGTCGTTTTTTTCAAGTGGTGTGATCGTGCGGACCAGCGAGAAAAAGGGGTGCGCGTTGCAATCAATGTCTTACGTTTTTTTTTTTTTTTCGCGGTGGAAATCGGGTGCGCGTTACAATCGAGGGCGCGGTAGAATCGAGTAAATACGGTAACCCTAGCAACACCGACACTGGGCCCAGGGGATATTGCCAATAAGACATCATTTTTCTCCACACTTTTCTCCCGGTGTACGTTTGTTTTAGGAATGCTTCCTCCACCATGCAGCACAATTCCAATAGGCATTCATTTTTGTCTGGCTGGGCAACACTGCCATTCAATGGATCATCAGAACTGCCAGAAAAAAATTGTTCTGGAAGACATTTAGAAGGTTCTTGGCTATCAAATTGCAAAGAGTTGATTTGCGCTCACCATCTTTGTGAGGACTCGATGGATCATAGTGCGGGTGCTTGGGAGATTTCACCTTCCGTTGCCATTATGCCTGGCGTTAGCGTTATCTTTAAAAAACCCAGTTCTACCGTGCAATATAGTGTGATTACAAGTGGCGGCAACAAACTGCCGCATGTCTCTACTTAGGACAGAGTGCAAATTCATCACGTGTGTGCAACGTAATATATGGCAGCCACAAGCAGCTGTTGTTTTCAAGGATGCATATCACTTTCGGGGTATTTCGCATATCGTGTTATACCATGATTGTTACATGCACTGTACAGAGCTGAACTTGCTAAGCCGCTAGCGTGGTACCTCATGCGTGCTTCAACCAATCGCAGATGGCGAAAAGCATGAAAAAAAAAAGGGGGGGGAATGGAATCATTCCACGATTGCACCCCAAGCCCCATATATGCAACTGGCAACACAGAAGGAACAGACGCTCACATGGTTTGTTTCGTTTGCTGCCATAGAAATAATTTTTCTTTACACTTAAACTGGTTGTCCCAACATATTTCGGTTCTCTCAGGATTTCAACACACATGACCTTGATGTTTTCTGTCAGGACTGCAATTAGCTGGCTTACGTCTGGCTTCCAGCGTGTGGCCAGAAGTTTGAAAGTCGAAGAGATCTCATACAAGTGTTTTTTGCCCTTGCATCTCCATGTGGACTTGTCAGCCTCAGTATTTACTGGATTCGAACCGTAAATTTACACATTTGGGGGGGGAGGGGGGAACATATTGAGGTTTTGCTCTATCCGGAAGCTTCCACTATGTCATCTCCCACTGCCTGAGTTGCTGTGGGGCGTTATACCCCACCCCATAAGCCAAACAGTCTTTCACAGAAATGTCAATATGGCCTATTCTCAAAGGGCACCAGAACTTTCGTCATGATAATTGCACAAGACTCTGTTGCAGCAGTGTACATTCAGGTGTGGCATCAAGAAAAAAAATGTGTGAAGCTAGTGAGTATGGTCAGATGAAGCAGGTGTACTGAGGTGAACTTTTAGCTCTTTAATACTAAGTGTTTGCGAGGGGCCAATGTTGGTGCTTATGATGCAAAGTGTATCAGAAGCAATGAGGCTTTAGAAACCTCCACAAAGAATTGTATAAGCTCTACTGCTTTTTTTTGCCATAGCTTTGCAGTCAAATGAGGCTACTTCTTTAAAATTAACTTTTGACATTTTGTTAATGAGAGGTAACTGACATCATTGCTAAGGAAAGTTCAGGGGATGTTATTAGAAGTAATTGCAGTGTAAATCGGGAGAAATAACAATGAACGAACTCATTCTAAAAGGACAAGGCGTACAATCACAGACACAGGAAGGAAGCCGGGACACACAAATGCCACCACAAAGGCGTTTTGGTGTCTTGACATCCTTCTTGTGACCACGTTTCCTGTCTCTTTAGAATAAATATGTTCCAATTAGCTCTGCTATATGTTATTCTGACGAAAAGAAAACTTGCCTATTTAAATATCATTTATATGGGGAAACAAACAGGAGATGAGGCAAGACTCACGTTACTCAAATACCATATTTGTTGACTGCTTGGAAACTTTTAAGGTGATGATGATAGCTGTGTAGTGATGCCTTTGCGATGGGGCTGTTGAGGATGATCTCACTCTTGTAACATCCTCCCCTTTTTGGGTGCAGATTTTAATACAGAATGCAGTCATTGAAGTGGCTAATCATGCATCTGTTTCGGCTCTGCTTTCTGCTTGTGGTGACTGGCTCTCAGTCCGTTTGTCCAGGAAGAATCTTGCTTTCATCATGCTTTGTGTCCACCAAAGAGTCGGGAGCTCCCATATTGCATTCGGATCCACAGTGAGATTGCTGTGATGTTTTGCCAATGCTGGAGTTCGGGACATGTCTTAGGTGCAATCTGTTCTGCCTTAACCGATTTCCTTCGACTTCTACCTCATATCATCTCGCGCCCAGCCATTTTGTCACTGTGTCCCCCCTTTGTAGTGGGCCTAGGTCCTTGGCGTATTTGTTGTAGTACTGCTTGGTGCTTGTGACCTTTGCTGTTCTCTGTTGCTCACAGTTGACAACCTGCGGCTTGAGTAGAGCTTTAGTTATGGGGAGAGTGATGTTGTTCTAGGCATGAGTAGCTGAGTTGTTGTGGCTTCTGGCTCCCATCTGTTGCTGTGGTGCGTTGCGGTAGTCAAGGATGGCTAAATATGGATCACCACTGCTCTCTAGTGCTTTCTTCAAAAGTGGCTTGGCAGTCTTCACTGCCGACTTCACCATGCCGTTTGCCTGGCGATGCCCTGGGCTCGAGGTGCAGTGCTGGAATTGCCATTATGCTGCAAACCTTGTAAAGTCCACGCACACAAATTGTGGTCCATTGTCACTGATGACAACATCCGGCATCCCATACCTAGCAAAGTGGGCTTTCTGATAACAGCAGTAGCTGTTGTAGACTGCAGTTGATCGATTTTCCAAAAGCCACTGAAGTAGTCAACTACTATGAGGATATGTTTTCCTTGCAGCTTCATTAGGTCAATCCCAACTCTTTCCCATTGTCAATCAGGTGTTGGGTGAGGCATCAGGGTCTTCTTCTGTTGTCCTTTACCATGTGCCTGGCATGTTTCGAATGTATCAATGTAGTTCTTGATCTCAGCGTTCATTTGGGGCCAATACACACGTTCTCAAGCCCTAGGGAGACAACAATGCCAAGCTGTGAGTGGTGCAGTCTCTTCTTGATGTCATCTCTCATGCTCATTGAGATGACCACACGTTGGCCTTTGTACACCAGACCATCTTGTGCAGTAAGCTCATCTCTGTTTGCTGAAACTTGTTTCTTTTTGTCTGGCCCACCACTGTAAATGACATTCACAAGTTTCTGCATCATTCTGTCGTGTGCTGTTGCACTTTTGATCTCATCGAATGTTTCTTCACACGTTGGCGCACTATGAAATTTACTTCATTGTATTCTAGGCTGCTTTCCGTTTCTGGAAGGAACGCCCTTGACATAGTGTCTGCAATGATGAGTTCCTTGCCTGGCTGATATTCAACTTAGATGTCATAGCGCTGTACTTGTAGCAGCATGCTTTGCAGTCATCGTGGTACCTTATCGAGAGGTTTCTTGACGATGGATTGCAATGGCTTTTGATCTGTGACCACTGTTGTGTGTCGGCCCAGTGCATATTGGTGGAACTTCTGTAGAGAGAACACAATTGTCAGCATCTCCTTTTCGACCTGTGCATATTGTACTTCAGTTGGTGTAGGTGCTCGGCTAGCGTAGGAAAATGGGGAGTCTTCTTGCAGAAGCACAGCTCCTAGCCCCTTTTCACTAGCATCACATTGAATTGTGACGGCCTTCTTTTAATCATAAAAAGCCAATATCGGTGGTGTTGTCAGCAGATGCTTCACTTTTGCAAAGGCCACTTTCTGTTCTTTTGACCATGCCCACTTGGCATCCTTGGCTGTCAGTCGTCTAATTGGCTCCATTATTGTTGATACGCTGGGAAGAAATCTGGCAATCTATTTTACCATGCCACATAGCCCTAGTACTCCACTAACATCAGTGGGTGGGCACATTTCACAGATTGCTCTGACCTTGTCGGGGTCATTGACGAGTCCTTTATCTGTGAGTTTGTGGCCGAGAAAAATCACTTCTTCCTTGTTCAGCTTTTGTGTTGTTGATGCGAATTCCTTGCTCTATGCATCTGTCAAGCAGTCTTGCCAACTTCTGGTCATGGTCAAATTGTGCCACATCTCTATTTTGGCCCATGCCATATACAAGTATGTCATCAGTGACGCACATTACATCTTGTAGGTCATCCAGAGCAGTTTTGTAGGTGTTCTTGAAAGATGCCACTGCTAGCAGCCAAGCCAAATGATAGACGTAACCACCTGTATCGTCCAAAGGGTGTTTGAGATGTCGGCATGCTCGACTCGGGATCTAAGAGACAATGCCAATATCATTATTGCGATGTGGCTGTTGAGGATGATCTCACTCCTGTAACATTGCCATTGGCAAGGACCAATCATTTTTGCATTTTGTGAGAGACATATTTGAAGTATTATTGATGCTTCTGCCACATGTGTGGAGTCTCTGACGTAGCAACTCGGGTAATGGGTGGTGTTTCAGATGAAGCAAGTGAAGAGAAGGAGCTGGATCCAGGGCCCCTAATGGAGGGTTCGGTGTGTGTTGGCCGCACCGCCTTCGCACGCATGCAAGCTGATGTCGACAGGCAAGGTGGACGTGTGCTCTCGGATCCCATGACACGGGAAATCCAACGTGCGCATAGGTCAGTGATGCCTAAGATTTTTCTTTTTAATGTGTTTTGAACATCACATGCATTTGCTGCACCTTTTCTGATGGTGCATTTACGGTGGTTGTTTCAGGTCGCTCTGAAATACCGATGTACAAGAGAAACTAAGGATTTATACCAAAACAAGTTTTCCATTACATAAGAAAGTTGTCACATGACTTGCATACCTGCGTGTTCTCATTTTAGAGCTGTAATGCGGTTCAATTCACCACTTTCAGAAACCGCTCAAATACTCGAGTATACGACCACTCGAATGTGCCATTAATCTCGCACAGCTTACATAAACTTGCCCGTTATAATGCATGCAGTTCCAATTATGTAGCACTAGTGGGACCATTGTAGCACTTTATATGCAACCATCACACATTGGGGCACACACATCATTGATACACTCTCAGAGCAACGTGCAGATCCTACTCGGCATGATATTTATTTTTCTATCACTTTAACCCTTTGAGATCTTGTGTACACAGTCGTGTACACCATTCATTTTTGCTGTTTGCATTAAGTAGAAGCTAAGAAAGAGCAATATATATCATACCTTGCAGGAAGTGAGCCTCCTGCATAATAAAGTTGTTTTCATTTAACTTCATTTTGCAGTGTACTGATACATAAGATCACTTTTCTGAAGACACTACCACGTTTGACGAGTCGTGCGACGTGACACTTCCTGCAGGCAATGTGAAAAAGCATAATTATTCTTTGCTCACAATAAACCTAACCAAATATGAATTTGAGCTGTCTTCTTAGCCTCAGATCTTATTCTGTTTATGCCAAAAGTAAGCATCAATGACTTCAGGGTAGAGATATTTACTTGAATATTAATTAGATTGAGTTACTGTAACACAAATAAGTTCAACAACTATCACATAACTTTTTTTTTTTGAAATAGAATATAGAGTGCCTTGAAGTAACATTGCAGTGATTCGACGCATTTACAGACAGTTGTTCATAGATGTTGCTGAAAGGGTTATGCTTATTTTTATTTTTACAAACTAAGAATTGCTTTTGTTGGTTGCAGGTACACCAGACTATTGCGGAAAGCCCGCCGGGAAGATCTGCGCACAGTGCGTGAAGCACGTTTCTTTTACGAAGCCGGACGAGATCGAAGGGGCCGTCCTGTGTTCGTCTTTGTAGGAAGAAGGTTTCGAGGCTTGAACCCAGAACAGGTCAGTACTAAATATGCTTGACATAAGTTCTTAGAAGCGATTGTTATTGAATGCACAGCTGTATTAACAGCTGCAGATAGACATGAGAAAGCGAAGAACAAATTCTTATTGTGTAATGAATGCTGCCAATTAGGGTGGGAAAACTCCCAGACAGGAATGAACTCCTTAAAGCTCAACTACAGTCGAACACGGATATATTGAACCCACATATATAGAATTTTTGGGTATATCGAACTCGCAAGTTACCCCCTTGAAATTTCTTTGTAAAATCATAGAAATTCGCATTTATCGAATGGCATTTTTACCCGTCTTCAGATATATCGAACACCACATGAGCTGGAGGGTGCGCTTTGACACTTGCTGCACCCCACGGTAGCGCAGCTCTGCATGCGAGTTGGAAGTGTGCTTTTGCACTCGCAGCGCCCGGCGATCTCCATGTGGCCCCGCGCCTCCGCCAAAACCCGAAATGCTCGAAAAAAGATGAGGGCGAGAGGGCTCGGACTGCACGTTCTCCAACTTGCACATGTGGTGTACACGTATCCCGAAGGAGTACGGCCACCAGCGTGGGTCCGGTCTTAGCGAGCCGCAGGGCACGCGTTAACCGTCGCCGTGGCGGGAAACACGATACTTCTCAAGTCGCAACACTTTATTGTGGCAACACCAACGCAGTACAGCCCGTTGCAAAAAGGCGCGGCGGGAAAGCAAGTAGGCTTATCCACGTTACGGGCACAAAGTACTACACAGGGGTGCCACGAGCACGTCTCCGCGGTAAAGGTAATCCACGGAGACACCGGGACAAAGGGGCCCGGTTGCTCGAGCGAGGGCAAAGGCGCTCGCGTTGGCTTCGAAGGGAGACGGGTCGGCGTAGCTAGGCCACGCACTAGGACACCGTACTGCCCTTCGGCCGTGAGTACGCAGCGGGGCAACAAAAGGTGAGCGTTCGCATCGGGCGCGAGGCGCCGTCAGCGAAGTCCGACGAGCCCCGAGCGACGGGACTCGACGGACGGAAAAGAATGCGTTGCTCACCGTTTGAAGTCCCGGACTGTACTCCCCGCTCACGACGCAGCGCGCGAAAACCTCTCGGGGGTCCCCGTGCGCGGCGCCACAGTCAACATCCGCTACCGGGTGAGGGAGTTAAACGTCACTCCGCCCTTCCCAGCGCAGCTGACGGCAAAGGAGGGTAGGCATGTCGGGACATGAGAAAAGAGGCGGAAAAGGCGGAAAAGCCCGCGCAAAGGCAGCGGGCCAGCCTCAATTCCCACATCCCCCTCTCCTAAACTTGTCCTTTACCGGTCTGCAAAAGGCAGCCGGACGTCACCCATGTAGTTAAAATGACACTGCTATGAGCGGTAGCTAACCTCAGTCCAGCCCTGCTACTGCTGCTTAAAAAAAATGATTACAAAGGAGAAACAAAAACATAAATAACAAAATAAACACACGACACTATAAAGATAACTGCGGAAGGGAGCACAGAAACGTGGCACTAGTGTTCGTGGTGCTGAAGGGGGATAGCGTCCACTGCGCGGAGGGGCGGAAAAGTGCGTGACAGTGTCCGCTGGGTGCGATGCCCGAGTGCGAGGTCAGAGGTACAGGAAGGGGGGGGCTCACTGATGGCTCGTTGCTGGTCTTGATGAGCAGCGAGTCCGACGAACGCTGCCTCGGCTGTGCTTCCGAGGCCCCGCATTTCTGGCTCGATGATGAAGCTGGAACGTTGCGCGAAGGCGGGCCTCTCCAGTGCTCAGGGAGGCCGTCCCAAATTGGCTGCGAATGGCGTTGGCCGGCAGCATATAGCTGCTTTCAGCTGGCCTCGCGCAGGAGCCATGGTGGGAACGGCAGCAGGGCTTCTTCGACGGCGGCCGAGAGCAGAGCGCAGCCAGACGGTCTGATGTCAATGGGTCAATGCCCCCCCAGCACCTCCAGCGTCCGCATCGATGGGGGGAAGCCATGACGCACTCTTCGGGCTCGCACTGAAGCGTCACGCACGCACACACCGCCGACGGCTGCGCGGGCGTAGGCGCAAAGCGTCCTTCGTCTCTCTCTCTCCCGGCAAGCACCGACACACAAGGTCACACACAGCTCCCTTTGCGGTAGACGAAACGAACACGGGAAAAAAAAGTGAAAACAGAGCAAAACGACACTCAACATCTGGCGAAAAACATAAAACACAAATAACACTTAATATTAGACAAAAATAAACATAAAATACACATGAACACTTCAAAAAATAAAAGAAACACTAGCAGCAGACAGGGCGGGGTCAACTCCTTTACGAGAAAAGGCCGTAAAGAAGCTAACCTATACTGAGGCTAGACAGTAAACTGAGGGCCTTCGGTTGCGGAGAAGTCCGCCGTCCGGCGCGAAATCACAAAGGTGACCGCTTCCTCAGATTATACCGGCGCGGGGTCCGAATGCGGTCCGTCGCTCCGGGTGTGCCCGTTGCTTGCGCGAAGTGCCGCAGGGCACTGGCGCAAGCTCGTCAGACCATGACAAAGGGCTTCAGGTCTGCGATGTGGGCACGGCTGAGTTTTCCCAAAGGGGATCTTTCAGCTAGTACGTGCCACGGACGCTCACTGACAATCGGTTCACAAGACCGGGCGGCTTTCCAACCCTTGGCTCAACCGTTTGTCAGACGTGGCAGGCACGGAATAGCGATAAAAGCCACGCTTCGTGCCGGGCCAGGTCACAACATTGCTCAGTTTGCAAAAACTTTCGAGCCACTCAGGTGACCGGCCATGGGTTCGTCGTGAGAGGATCGCAACAGTGCGGCTCTCAGACTTTTGGGCATAACCACCTTAAACGGGTCTATGGACTCGTCGTCAGTGGCTATATATTTCAGCAGGAGCCCGTCATGGTCCAGCAAAATGAATCCGCCGGGGACTCAGCGACACACACTGTTTCAGCCCCCTAATTGCGCCCGCCGCAGAACAAGCAGCGTAACGGCGCTCCGCGCCTCGTCAAGACGGTTTAACGGCGCCCGCCGCAAAGCAAGCAGCATATACGGCGCTCCGTCCCTCCGAGACTCGAAACGGATCACTCTGCTGAGCCTTCAGTAGCCCTTCGCTGCCGAAAGCAATTCCCATTCTCCCAAATGGGGGAGTCTGGTATCGCGCCCACTCAGGACCGCAGCAACCGCCGCGTGAGTCGGCGTTACGGGTTCGCTCTCGGCCTCGTGGCCTTCGGAAAGCTCCCCCGCTCGGCCGCTTTGCGGTGCGCCGCTTACCTGGTTAGCAGCCTAGGTTTGTCCGCATGGGGACTCACCCTTCTCGCCGAATGGCGGCGAAGCTGCTGTTTCGCCCCCGACGCTTGCATGTGCTAAGGCACCGCGAGCGGCCGTCGCACCGAAATCCAGGTTCTCGGCAGACAACAAGGGGCACGAGATAGCGCGTCAGCTACCACGTAGGAGTGTATTCACCACAAAAAGGGGTGACGACACAGGCGAGCGCCGAAGGGCGCCCGTCGATAGAGGCGGTGGCCTCTTGGTGCAACGCGGCATGCCACGAAGCAGACATAACGTTCGGGTAGGGCAAGAGGCCCATTCCGAAGCGACGCGCCATCTCCAGAGGGAGCGGCTAGGTGCCTAGTGTCGTCACCGCAATAGGGGGTACCGACACAGACGGGTGCAGAAGGGTTCCCGTCAATAGAGGCAATGGCCTCCGTGTGCAACGCGGCATCCGCTAAAAGGGACAGCGGACAAAAGTCCCGCGAGGCAGCCATGTTGCGACGAGCCCGAATCGCGCAGGCGAACTGACTCGCTAAGAGCAGTCAAAAGCTAGAGCTTTTGATACCGCGTTGGGCGCCAGTGTGGTGTACACGTATCCCGAAGGAGTACGGCCACCAGTGTGGGTCCGGTGCACGCGTTAACCGTCGCCGTGGCGGGAAACACGATACTTCTCAAGTCGCAACACTTTATTGTGGCAACACCAACGCAGTACAGCCCGTTGCAAAAAGGCGCGGCGGGAAAGCAAGTAGGCTTATCCACGCCACGGGCACAAAGTACTACACAGGGGTGCCACGAGCACGTCTCCGCGGTAAAGGTAATCCACGGAGACACCGGGACAAAGGGGCCCGGTTGCTCGAGCGAGGGCAAAGGCGCTCGCGTTGGCTTCGAAGGGAGACGGGTCGGCGTAGCTAGGCCACGCACTAGGACACCGTACTGCCCTTCGGCCGTGAGTACGCAGCGGGGCAACAAAAGGTGAGCGTTCGCATCGGGCGCGAGGCGCCGTCAGCGAAGTCCGACGAGCCCCGAGCGACGGGACTCGACGGACGGAAAAGAATGCGTTGCTCACCGTTTGAAGTCCCGGACTGTACTCCCCGCTCACGACGCAGCGCGCGAAAACCTCTCGGGGGTCCCCGCGCGCGGCGCCACAGTCAACATCCGCTACCGGGTGAGGGAGTTAAACGTCACTCCGCCCTTCCCAGCGCGGCTGACGGCAAAGGAGGGTAGGCATGTCGGGACATGAGAAAAGAGGCGGAAAAGGCGGGAAAGCCCGCGCAAAGGCAGCGGGCCAGCCTCAATTCCCACACACAACAGCTTTTTTTTTTTTTTCGTTTCTATTTTTCTCGTGCTTCCTCCGTGTACCCGTCAGATTGAAGAACAGGAATGAATAAGCCGACGACCTCCTCTTTTCGCCTTTTATTTTTTGTTGCTGTTTTGCGAGTTTTGATCAGCCATCCACAGTTCGCGCCTTTTGCTGTTGCCCTCATCGGTTACCATCGCCTCGCAAGCACTTTGTTGCCGGAGTCTGCTTTCGTTGTCACATCGGCTACGTACCACCGCATGTGAAGCACTCTTCTTTCGTGTGCGTGGTGTGCAAAGTCGCTGCCGACTCCTTGAATTGTTGACTTCTCATGTAGCTATGGCCAGCGTCAAGAAGCGCAAGACCCTTGACTTTGAGATGACGTTGAAGGCTAATCAGCGTGTTGAGGCGGGCGAGAAATGTTCGACCGTTTATTTATTTATTTATTTATTCAGTTACCCTCAAGGCCCGAGGGCATTACAG